TAAGACCAAAGAGAATATATATATTACCTATAATTAATTAGCACAGTTACTGTGTTCTTTGATGTGTTATATGTAAGAGTTAATAAAAAGTAATCTATTGGAAAAAATGAATAAAATGGATAAGAAATGATAGATTTTATATATTTTCTCTCTTATACAAACATCACAGACGAGCGCTTTACATTATTCTACGAATGATCCGACTGATTCGTTCATAGTTTTGACGGCTTCCCTAAACTTGCGGTATATGTGCGGTAATATGTCTGCTTTATCCTTTTATGCTTTCGCCATTCGAAAGAGGAGACTTGATAACATGTTTTCATAACCAAAATTATGTTGCTGCATATGACATGCTGAGTCTCGTGGCAATATTTGGTTTTAGAAAAAATTTAGGTTTATTTGAGGTTTACAAGGTTAGTTTAGGTTCTGATTCTTTTTATATTTTTGTGCCTTATATTTTTATATTGTGGTTATAGGTACTTCTATATACTTGTATAAGTCTTCTGATTCTTTGCGTATTTAGATTTGTTTTAAATAATCTGGGTTCATTAGTTTTTAAACCATTATTTCAAAATTACTATTTTTGTTACTGGAACTTTGAAACTTTGAAATTCTGAGAGTCTGGAAATTTGAAACACTAAATTTTGAAGCTCTGAAGTTTGACATCTTAAATCCTGAAACACTGAGATTCTGAAACTTTAAAAATCTGAAAGCCTGAAGTTTTGAAAGTCTGATACTTTGCAATTCTGACACTTTGAAATTGTGAAATTCCGAAACTCTGAAACTATGAACTTTTGAAATTCTGAGACTTTGAAACTCCCAGAGTCTGTACATTTGAAACACTAAATTCTAAAGCTCTGAATTTGTAAGATTTTGAAATCCTGAAACACTCGCATTTTGAAACTTTTAAATTCTGATATTCGGATACTCTGTAACTATGAACTTTTGAGATTATGATTTTTGGAAATTCTGACACCGTGAAACTCTGAATTGCGGAAACTTTCAAATTGTGATATGCTGAAGCTTTAGAATTATGAAACTTTGATATTCTGAATGTTTGAAATTCTGATATTCTGGAATACTGAAACTTTGAATATCTGAAATTCATACACTGAAATTCTGAGATTGTGACACGTAGAGATTCTGGAATGTTGAAACTCTGAAAACCTGGAATCCGGATACTTCGAAATTCTGAAATTATAACACTTCCGAATGCTGAGATTCCCATACTGTGATTTTCTGAGATTCTGATGTTATGAAACTTTGTAATTCTACAACTTTTTAATTCTGGGAGTCTGAAAATATGAATTTCTTAAATTCGGAAACTTTGTACAAAATTTATTCTGCTACTTAGAAACGATAATTGGATCTGAGACGTTATGAAACTTTGAAATATTGTGGTTCGGAAACTTCGAAATTTTAAAATTCTTAAACTTTGCAAGGCTGAAATTTTGAGATTTTGAAGCTTTGAAATTCTTGTATTCTGAAAGTTAGAAATTCTGAAGTTGCAGGAGACGCAGCATTTGCTTGGTAAGTCACTCTTATACTGTAGAATGCTAATTTGACGGCCTCTTCTGTCGGGTTACTTTCACTACTTTAGCGCCGTTAGACCGTGGACGAGCAGCTGAAGCAGGACGAGGACGTGGTAGTGACGTGTCAGATGAAAGCGATCCGCTACGTTCAGAGATGGTCGACGATGCGCGCGATACTTTTTGAGGAATGGCAGGTTTTACAGTAGATGAACGTCGAGATACTCGATAAACACAAACTCCACTTTTGTCTGCTTTATCTGGTGTTTCATCTTCTTGAGATTTATCATTAGCAAATTTAGAAGGAACGACGGTTGAACGATAAGTAGCTACGGTTGGTTCAGATAGTCGCTGAGGTATTTTTCTCACGCTTACTGAAGCTGCTATACTCGGTCTCATCGCTGGAGCCTGTCGAACGGATTTAGATGTTTCCAGCCTTCGTGTAGGTTTGTTCTTGTCAGACTTAACTTGAGGTATAGTTGAACGATGAATAGCTATCGTGGCTTGAGGTGGGCGACGAGGCAATGTTCTCACGCTCACTGTTGATGCTGGTGCACTTGACGGAATTGCGGGTTCAGATGGAACAGATTTAACTGTGCTTTATCATTGTGAACCTTGATTTGAGGAACCGTGGAACGATGGATAACCGCTGTTGTTTGTGATGGCCCACGAGATAATCTTCTCACGGTTACCGGCATTGCAACATTTTGTCTAATAGTTGATTCTGGCTGAACTACATTCTTTGGAAGCGATGAACTAATTGTCAGTGGGCTTCGACTGCTGCTAGTTAGACCCACTAAGGAGGCATCCGTAAGTTTTCTCTTTGTTTGATCATTTATATTTGAAATACGTTGAACTGTAACTCGATTGACCGTCGAATTATCCTTTGGTGTTGTTAACATAATATCATCAGACAATGGTGTAACACTGCTTGTTTGACTCTGTATATCATGGAGTATGTCGTAGATTCGATTTGATTTGTTTGATTTTGTAGATAATAGTCGTTTAGTTCGTTTGTTAGTCTTTGATTCACGTTGTTTTTGAGATTTGCGCTGCTGTTGCTCTTTTGCTTTTCGTTTTTGAACCAATAGGTACTTGTAACAAATTTCGTCCTCTTCTCCCTCTTTCTCTTTTCGACGGCGACGACGTACACCAGCACCGCTGTGTTTAGAAATAGAAATACAAGAGAGTGATAGGAAAATAGTTTTACAGACCGCAATCTGTAGCTGGTTCTTTGTTTTTCCTTTATGTGCTTGGATGTTAACTGCCATTTGTGGTATGTTCAGACAGGTGGTTATCGGCCTGTCCAGCTAACGGTCACTTTCACTTAAGATGGTTAGAAAATTTTTTTTAACTTTAAGAATTTGTGAAGCACATTGTCTAACGTAGTTTTTGAAGCTGCTTTCGAATATCAACTTAAAATTTCCAAAAAATTAAATTTGGACCTCAAAAAATAAAATCCAAATTTTATTTTTAATTTCCTGACCCAGATATTTTCGCGAAAAAATTAAGAGATATGGTATTTTGTACAGAATTTAATTCTCTACAAGATGGTGTATCTATTTTTGAGTTTAGGTGATTTTCAAGAAAGTTGGTTTTCGAAAAACTAAGTTTTAAAACGGGTTTTTCTTCAAGTCAAAACGGTTTCAAAGGTTTTTCTACGGTGCATCGGAAAGATCAGATCAGATACTGTCTACTGCTATCGGAAATATTTTTCTATGACGACTTTTGTAATGGAGTTTAACCTTCTGATTTTAAAGAACCAAAAAAAAAGCT